CCTGGTTTCTACAAAAAAATTTAAAAATTAGCCAGGGCATAGTAGTGCATACCTATAGTTCCAGTTACTCAGGAGGTTGAGGTGAAAAGACCACTTAAGCCCAGTAGGTCGAGGCTGCGGTTGACAGTGATTGTGCCACTGCACTCCAACCTGGGTGACAGAATGGGAACCCAACTCGGGGAAAAAAAAAAAAGCACAACACTCAGCCTTTAGTGTGACGTCAGATATTTCCACCTAGTTTTTCCAGTGAATGTTATCTTCACACAAATCCTATAGGAAATGAAGACCTATTACAGAAACTTGCTGACTCTATCCTTCACCTCACTCCAGAAATCAGGCTTTACATTAATAGTCTTCTAATTTTAAAAGTGGACACTTCATGCTTTGAAATAGAACCAAATCAGAAAACATTCTTGTTCATAAACCTATCAATGTAAATATAAAGTTATTTCACCAAGGAGTAAGAAAACAAAGTATGCCTATGCTGATTCTCTCCACTAAGTCATCAACGCATGCTTAAGAATGCCAATCCTCATTTTTTCTGCAAATTCTTTCAGCAGCAGTGTGCCTGCAGTTTTATAAGGTGCAGGCCACGAAGAAGGCTTCCCTTGGGTCTCAGCCCTCCAACCATGAAAGCACCTCTGCAAGGTAGGAGCTCCTTCACCTCCTGCACCTCAAAAGACATCATGAAGATGAGGTGGGACACCATGCAGAGCACTGAGCACAGGGTCCAGCCAAGGACAGTCAGGGGCAGTGATTTGGGTTTTGTTCTGTTGATGATAACAAAAATAAAGCTAAATAAATTTCAGTGCAGACTTACTCCCTATTTCTTAGAGAGCTATAGTAATTCTAAATAGAATCACTCCCAGCACATTATTTATAGTAGATTAAGAAAAAAAATAACAAAAATTTATTCCCAGTTGAGAATTCTCAACTAGAAGAGGGGTGAGTTAAACTGCTGTCAAAATAAACAGCTGTTCCTCAGAGTAGCTACAAGATTTGAAACTTCTCCTCTTTGGTCTACATGGCTGGAGGCAGCAGTCTGGAACAGATGTTTCTTCTTTAGCTATTGTAACAAGGTTCTCACAGAAGGAAAAAAAGAATCTGAAGAGCTATATATATACAAATTAGTTGTGAGATCCTAGCTAGTCAAAGGTTTAGTTAAAAACTTTTAATTGCCAGCCTTTAAATGCTTAAGTTTAAATTCTGAGACAACTCTAAATTATACATATTTTTGGATACATTATTTTTATAAACTCAACTATTGTTACAAATAAATATGGTCATTTTTTTTTTTAAAAAAACTTTTGGGGGAGGTATCAATTAGGCCTGTTCGAAACAGCTGCAGCAACTTGACGTTGAATAGACATTAACACAGTTCTGTCACATATGGCAGACTCTGGAGCCAGACAGCCGGGAGGCAGCTTAGCTACTTGCTAGCTGTATAATGATGGGCAAGTCAGGATCTCTCTGTGCCTCAGTTCATCATCTGAAAAATGGGGATAACAACAGTACGTATATCACATCTGGTTGCTGCTGTAAGGATTAAATGAGTGAATACAGCTCCAGACACAGTTGACATGATATCGGTTAGTTATTAAAGCATGTCACCCATTGACTGTTAGAACAAATGTATCTATTATATGCCATAAATTGCACTAGAGACTCAAAGGTAATAAGATAGACACAGATCTTACTAGAGGAGAAAAGGTCTGAGCAGAGATCACAAGGGTGAGTACAACAATGTAGCCAGGCCAAGTATGGCAGGTGTGCACAAGAAACAGGAAGTACAGGGGTCTGAACTCCAGAGAAAATGTTCCATGGAAAGCTGCCATCATGGGGGAAGGGAATCAGAGTGAGGACAGTGGTTTAACTACATGTAATAAAAAATGGACCATCATTCCATGTTAAAATTTGCTCATCTATGACCAGGATTGTACCTGAATGCCAGTGAATGAACAACAATGGAGATATGTTAACAGTATGTTTATAGTAAATATTTTGCCTGCTGTATCAAATGTTGCTTTCCAGAACAGACCTCCGACAAATTAAATGTCTACATCTAGAGCTGCAGACCTAATATTCCATATCCATTCATTCACATTAGCTCAGTTTCCGAAGTCAAATAATATGGAAGTGCAACCTAGGAGATAAGAAGGCTCTGACAAGGCATTTATTTGTCAACAGTTCTTGCTAATATTAAAACTCTAGACTTTTAAAAGCTATGTTCTGTCTAAAATTCAAGCATTGTAACCATACTGGCCAAAAAGAAATAAAAATAGAAGAGAACAATAAAATACCTGTGTGAAATCTCACCACCTGATACAACCACTTCCCTTCCAGTCTTCCGTATGCTGTTTTATCCTAAAGAAAATGTCTTCTTTGTTTTATTTAGATGAAACGTTTTCATACTTAGTCCTAGCAATTTTAACTTTGTGTGTACACGAACATGTGTGTGGAAGCAGTTTTTCCCAGGAGCCATGCAACTCTGACACAGAGACGCTTCACTCTGTTGCCTACTTCCTGAGGCCTGCCATTCAAATTCTTTTCTGCCTCTGACCAACCATTGGTAACAAAAGGCCAGCTCACCCACAGAAGGCCCAAAGCCCTCTAATTCTTTTAGATCTTGGGAAGATTTGGAGTTAGATCTAGATTCAAATCCCAACTTTAATCACTTACAAACAATATGGGCTTGGTCTCACAAGAAAATCCCCAGATGCCAGTGCTGTTACTTGTAAAATGGAACACAAACCACAGAGTATGGGAGGCAAAGCATGACACAACAGTTAGGAGTACCGGCTTGGGAAAGGGTGCATGGGCTTAAACTCCAGTTCCACCATTTTCAGCCAGTGGAACATTATGCTAAAGAGTGTCTAGCATAATGTCTCTGGGCCTCAGCTTCTTCATCTTCCGTAAAGGATAGTAACGGTGAAAAGCTGTAGAATCACTATGCAGATTGGCTGAGATGAATATATGTAGGACATTTCTCCTAAATATGTATACATAAGACATCTCCTAAGTTTTCATAGAAATACCCAATATATGAAAGGTATTGTCACTTCATACATCTGTTTTATACTTTATGCAAAATTGGTCAGAGGTCCTAAAGGACATCCTAGGTTTTATGATTTGCTGGAAAAGCTCACAGAACTTAATAAGGTCATTATACTCACTGTCATGGTTTATTACAGCAAGAGCATCCAGATTAACATCAATAGGAAAAAAGCACACATGACAGAACAGAGTCCAGGAAAAACCAGGTCTGTTCTTCTAGCTGTCCTCTCTCAAGGGAGTCCCACAGATAGAACTTCATTATCCCAAAACACGTGACGTCATGTGCAAAGTACTGCCATGCAGGAAGGCTCCCCGGACCTTGGTGTTCACTGGGAGTCCATCACTTAGGCATGGACTGCCTGTGTGACTGATCTGAGCTGTTCAATCTCCAGTCCCTCAAGAAGTCAAAAACGACACAATGCAATCCAGAGCCCTAGTGCACAAAATCAGGTGCTCACCATAAATCAAACTGTTAGCAAACCTAGCTAGGCTGGACCAAAGTCCCAGGTCCATAAAAAGACCCTGCTCAGGCAGAATATTACTAAGGGAACAGGTGTCCTCTCAGGAGCCAGTCAAAAGCCAGTCCTTTCTTTAGAATGTGTAGAGGTTGGGTTCCCTAAGCCTACCGAATTAACCCTTTACTGTATAATAATTTATTGAGCAACAATCATGTGTCAGGAGATAAAATAAACATTTGATTTATATTATCTCATTTAACACTAAAAAATTTTGATGAGGAAGGAATTAACAACCTTAAAAAAATAACAACAACAAAAAAACAAAAATGGAAACTGAGGCTTAGGAAGGTTTTATGTGTTCACAGCCACATATCTAGTATAGAATGCAAACCTGGCTGTCTCAGATTGCAAAACCTTTACTACTTCCACTACGTCAAGTTGCCTCATAAAACATTATGAAACTTAAAATAATATATTGTGGAGTATGTGACACAAATATATTTACTAACCAAATTTATTTCTGGTAGTGAAAAAAGTACCAGAAATACAAAGAATCTGTGGAGAAAATAAACAAGAACTAGGTGAACTAATGTGCATTTTCTACACAGTTTCACATTAAAATACTGTGTTTTTATTAAAAAGCTATCTAATCATAGCTAAGGAAGTAAAACCAAGTCCAATAAACTCAGCAATAAAGTTTTTCTGAGATTAGAAATAACCAACTCTTTTAATTCAACCTTCTTTTTCTTTACACTGCAAAACTTTTTAATCCCCACAAACATTTGCTGAAATACAGAAATGACTTACCCATCTATTAAGAATAACAGTTTTCATTGTAGGAATGTTTCACCAGTTTCCCTAGGGAGGTAACAATGCCTTCTCACTTTAATATGTGTGTGGTTTTTTTCTTCTCCCCATCTAATCAGCTAATACTTTTCAAAAGATCTTTTTAATGCCTAAATGAAAGGATTCCACATCAAAGACCTGACCTCCCTATTAAAGTATCTAAAAGAAACCCTACGAATGTAAAATCTATTCAAAGGCAAATTGCATGTAGCGTACTGTACAATGCATTAAGAAAAGAAAAAAAAAGCCATAAGAACTGCATGGAATTTGATAAAATTATGTCACAAAAATACAAATTGATCTTAAGTATAAAGAAACAAATTCATAGCCAAAAGCTTATTACAAAAGTGCTCTGCAATCAGCCAGAAGGGTAGTCTTTATGAAGAACTACAGAATTTGTCACTTTTTCAATCAAAATGTCTGATTACGGCTTACTGTTGGAGAGGCCAAAAAGAGAACAAACCACATATTTTTCAATAGATTTAAAATCTGAAATTTTAAAGCTAACTTTCAACATCAGAAAAGGTAGGCTTTCGTACAGAAAAAAAAAGAGTGGAATAAAATACTGAAATAAAAGTAGAATAGACAAGGTGGTATAAATAAAAATGCTTTTTAAAAAACAAATTAAAAATTTTACCATACCATGAATGTGGTTCTGAAGTTATTCAAATCGGTAAAAAAGTCTTCCACGGACACCTTCTTCACATCAATGACGTAGTATCCCATTAGACTCTGGTATAACTTTTCCATGTTTTCATGTAACTTGGAAAGTTTCTCATTTTGTTCTTTTGCATGGATAACAAAGCTGTATGCTATAGTTAAGGTATTCTGAAATTTACAAAGTAATGCTTGAGGGGGAAAATTTCTATGAATCCAATGTTTTAGTCTAACAGCTATCTTTATAACATCCTCAAAATTCTAAAATTACTTCTAACAGCTAACCATTCCTAAAGTAAGTCTACACTGTTCAGTGAAGAAATCTTAAACTCCATTTCTTATTAACTTTGCAAAAAATTAACAGAAAACACAAATATTTATATATTTAATATTTATATATTTAATATTTATGTTAACTAATTGAGTTCAAGAAAAATATTCTTCTACTTTATCATAGTAATACATATATTATACAAAACATGTAATATGATTCAAAATTATAGTGCATTAGTTGCAGTTAAGTAATTGCAATGACAGTGAAATCAACAGTATAGTCATTGAACAACTTGGGATCATTTTCCCGTTCCTACACTTGGCAGTAGTGTGCCTGAGGGCAAGTGCCTTCATGTCTCCTAACTCAATTTTCTCATCTGTAAATTAGGAGTAATAATATCATCTATCTTATAGGGCTGGTGCAAAGACTAAATGAGTTAAAACATGAAAAGTTCATAGAAAAATGGGCATTTAATAGTATATATAATACTCATAGTATTATTTCCCAGTTGTTTAAAATTTAAATGTTATTAAGGTTCTAAAAGCAAACAAAAAAAAATTTCTTAAAGTTAAATTACAAACTTTAGCCAGTGGCTCATGCCTTTACTCCCAGTACTTTGGGAAGCGGAGGTGAGAGGATTGCCTGAGCCTAGGGTTCAAGACCTGCCTGGGCAACTTGGTGAGACCTCGTCTTTACAATAAATCAAAAAGATAATTAGTCGGGTATGGTGGCGTACACCTGTAGTTCCAGCTACTTGGCAGGATGAGGCAGAAGGATCACCAGAAACCGGCAGGTTGAGGCTGTGGTGGCCGTGAGCCTGGGTGACAGAGTAAGACTCCGACTTGAAAATAAACAAAAACTTTTTGCATAATATAAATAATTTAATGATCTAACTTCTCCTGGAAAAATGATATGGGATTTCTTCTATCTGTTACATTATTAAAAGTTACAACCACACACAGAGAAGTGTTCTTGTCTTTACTTAAGATGTCATAATTCAAAAGACACTGAAATCAAGAAGATTAATTTAACACGTATGTGGCTCAGTTTATGTTCCTCTTAATAGTAAAGTTTCTCCTTATATTTTCTGGAATCCAGATCTTTAGTAGTGCTAGTGATTGATGCGTATAAAGATGATACCATTTTGTAATTCTTGGATAAACAACAGAAGATTTTATAGAATTAGTCAAACCACAAAGTCACAAAAAATCATAAGAATAGAGTCAAACAAGACAGACTTCCAAACAATTTATCAATATCCATGAAAAGCTGTAGATACAGTGAATTAATGTAAATAAAAGTCACATGTAAAATGCATTCAAAAACTATCATTAAATAAAATGTGATTATTTTGTAACATAAAATAATCATTCAGAAATCACCAATTTATAAATAGGTTTACCTAGTCCATCTATAAACTGTCGCCTAAAACTATTTATGTCCCAGATAGAGAATCTATCCACATGAATTTTTATATATTTTTAACTCCTATTTAAAAGAGAAACTAGTTTTTTTGGCTTCTCTTGTCCAACCCTATGCTTGAAGGATTTGTTTAATTCTTCCTCTCCCATGAAGCTTTCTTCTCTAATCTCTATAGCTACGAGTATGGAAACATAGCACTTGCATGCTGGAAACACTAAATTTGTAGTCCATGGTACTCTTCGGGAAGTTCATCTGGCATATTCTAATGCCCAAATCTAAAAGTTGTGATTTAACTTGTGATTTCTCTCCTCTAGTCTAACTCCTTAGTAGTGTCTTGTTCTTGCCACATTTCTGGCAAGGGTGGTCACCTCTGACTGCCAGCCCATTCTCTAGGTGCTGTGTTCTACCTTCTTAGCTGTATGAAGCCTAACCATCTGCAACTATATTGGTGCCTATTACTTATTTCATCCTAGTGCCAGTTTTCTTAACTTTTGGTGGGAAGGGTAACAGGTGTGTTCAAAAGTCTGAAGAAAAGTCATGAAACTTCTATCCATAAAAATGCATGTAATATTAAGAGCTAACAGAGACCCTGGGAATATCCTAGACAATAGATTAAAGAAACCATTTCAATGGGTGTCTCTAATTGTCTGGTTCTATAGCTATCGCTTTTCTGTCTCAACGCTGCTTCTATGGCTTTACATTTTAACAGGCACTTCACAAATATAAATACAATAAATACAAACTGTATCCTAATACCTGGAAATACACCCATTCTCAAAAATCCATTTGGTAAACAGGTTAAAATAAAGCAATAATTTTTAGATTTTCAAGTAAGAATCACAAGTAATGAAACATCAGAAATATATCTGTGCATACTTAGAAAAAAAGAAGTATAATTCTACTAAAAGATATGATAGAAAAATGACCAAGAGCTATAACCCTGGAAATGACAAAGTTTTGTTCTAAAAACTAGAAATTGTGTTTTTTTAAATAATTGTTATCTATGAAACAATTTGCACCCAAAGGAATGGAATTTTGAATAACTGAAATTACTCACAAGAACAGTAAATTGTGGTTAAACTAAAACAATTTTGAAAATAGTCAAATTAATGCCCAGAAGTTTAATTATTTTTTTTCCTCCATCATCAAGTTCTACATTTGTCAAGAGCTTTGGAGAAACATGTGAGATACTAAACAAACATTTGATAAAACTCATTACAAAAATATTGAAATATATTCAGTTCCCTGATGTTTAGAGAAGTCTATTTAATTTTCCTTTACCATGACTAAGACCAAATTCTCATGAATTTCTACTTGAATCACCGTAATCAATCCAATTCTTCCATTGGAAAGGGAATAACTACGTCTTTGTTCACATACACTGAACAACAAGTGTTTAGTTGTGGCCAACTAAGGAGCACAACTAAGAGTTGAAATTCTAATCTGCCAGTACTGGTCACTACCAAACCACTGACCACAAATATATTCCACACTTAGTTCATATTGTCATCATTACACTCTTGCCACTAAGGATGCCCATGAATTCCATTAACACACTTTACAAAGATCAGTTTTAAATGGTCCCATGTCATAGACCTTAAGTGCCCAGGATCCAGCCAGGCACTCAGTATAGCTCCTAAGTATTCTAGACACTCTTCTGGGCACTAGGGAAAACAGTAGTTAACAAGATAGGCAAAGTCCCTGCTATCATAAAACATACATCCTAGAATATGGAAGCAAATAGTAAGTAAATGCGTGGGATTTTCACACAGTGATAAGTATGATGAAGAAAGTGAAAGTTTATGCTGTTCTATAGAGTGACAGTTTGGGTAGTTGTGGAAATCCTGGGTAAGAAGGTGAGACTGACTAAACAACCCAGGCATGACTGCAAGAAGCAGTGAGAAAGTTGTGTAGCACTCTATTGCAAAGGTATTAAGCCTTCAGAAAAAGAAAAGATTACTATAAATGAGAGGATTCATAAAGGATTAAGAGCAAAATATTGAACCTTAGTCTTAAAAGTTTGTTAGGAATAGATTAAGCACAATGAGATACCATCTCATACTGGTCAGAATGGCTATTATTAAATAGTCAATAAAACAACAAATGCTGATGAGGAAGTGGAGGAAAGGAAACACTCCTACACTGCTGGAATGTAAACTAGTTCAACCCCTATACAAAGCAGTTTGAAGATTTCTCAATGAACTAAAAATGGAGTCACCATTCAACTCAGCAATCCCACTTCTGGGAATATACCCAATAGAACATAAATCACTCTACCAAAAAGACAACTGCACTTGCATGTTCATTGCAGCACTATTCACAATAGCAAAATCGTGGAACCAACCAAAACGCCCACAGAAAATGACCTGGGTCGAGTGCAGTGGCTCACGCCTATAATCCCAGCACTTTGGCAGGTCGGTCGAGGTGAGAGGATTCCCTGAGCCCACAGGTTCAAGAGCAGCCTGGGCAACTTGGCGAGACTTCATCTCTACAATAAATCAAAAAATAATAATAATAATAGCCAGGCATGGTGGCACGTGCCTGTAGTTCCAGCCACTAGGAAAACTGAAGCAGAAGGATTGCCTGAGCCCAGCAGGTCGAGACTGTGATGGCCATGAGCATGCTACTACACTCCAGCCTGGGTGACAGAGTGAGATTCCAACCAAAAAGAAAAAAAAAGAAAAGAAAATGGATTGGATAAAGACTATGTAGTACATATACACAACAGAAAACTATGAAGTCAGAAAAAAGAATGAAAAAATGGCCTTTACAGTAATATGAATCCAGCTGGAAACCATTATACTAAGTGAACTATCACAGAAACAAAAAACTGAATACGGCCTATTCTCACTCATAAGTGGGTACTAAACACTGAACACACACAGGCCCAAGGATGGGAACAACAGACACTGGGCGCTGATAAACGAAGAAGGGAATAAGGGATACAAAGCCATCCACTGGGTACCATGCTTACCACTGGGGGCAGGGGAGACAGGCTCATCAGAAGCCCAAAACTAAACTTTACACAGTATACCACTGTAACAAATCCTCACCATTGAAAAACAAAAAAAGAATAGGTTAAGTGGAAGAAAGGCAAGCAATGAAGAACAAAAGAAGAAAAGGAAAAGAGGGTAAGAAGACTAATTCAAGAGAAGAAAATTCTGCTAAAATAAATCACTCAATTATCCACTCTTAGACCTGAGTCATGCATTACAAATTTACATTCACCCATTCCAATCTTCTATTTTACTTCCGAGCCACAGTCCAGTTAAAGAAAAATGTATTCCTTTACCTGCAAAATACTCGATGTTATGCATTGTAGAATATAGCTATTAATAAGTCTTCCTTTTTATAGATTTACTGGGATGGTTTTAGCATTTAATCAGTAATTTTAGAAGTGCCTAATGCATTGCTATACAGTAGAAAAACAAGAAAGTGTGACAATAGAGTGGGATTTCAATAAAGGAATCTAAAGAATGTAATATGGGGAAGAGTCAAGTAACTTGTCATGCAAGTTGTAATAAACATAAAAATATAAAAATGTCTAGTAAGATGATTGTTTTCCCTAAAAGACTCAGAAGAGGTGGTAGGAAAATGGAAAGGCATTTTGTGCAATGAGAATTTCAAGTGAAGTGCTCTAAGTTCTATTTGTTATTTTGCTTAAAATAAGAAATATTACAGAATTTAAAGGTCAAAAGCAAGGAACAAGTACTACATGACAAAATCCTGGCATTTTCTTATAATTTTCTCACTGATAGGATTCAGAAGTGCACTCACCACACATACAAAAGTTTACGTATGACAATACTAATGACCCTACCTCGTACTTTTGTTTCTCATTTTTAAAGTATGTGTTTACTGTGGAACTATTCAACTCTAATTAAGGTTCTGACCAGACTTAGCAATTGGAAGGTAACAACCATTACTAAAAAGTCAATGAAATGCATGTAAAATAATTGTGTATGTCTTTTAAAGAATGTACTGAATTCATATTTTTTATATAGAGCAGTGTCTGTAAAGAGTGAGCAAACACTAGAAGAATAAAAATACAATATACTCTAACTGAGGGCTATCAGTGAAACTTCATGAAACAAAAAGATATAATTATATCTTTATAATTATAATTTAAAGTATTTCAATTAACAGATTATATAAAGGTTCACTAAAGCAAGAATGTTTAAACTAGGTATGTACCTGTAACATACATCCTTAGCTTAAATAATACATTCTTTCAGATTTGGTTGATGAACGAAACATTTGATATGTATTTCAACTACTAAGCATTTAAACCAAAAACACAGTTAGAATCTTAATAAAAACTTTAGTACAATACATTTTACTTGTGTATTTTAGCTTCTAAATCCTTCAACTTTGTAAGATGTAAGAAGCTCACAATGTGCCACTTGAATAAGATCTGTATAAATGCATTTAATATTCAAAATCTGACTTGTTGTCAGTCCTAATTAAAGTAAACAAAACCTTACAATGAATGAATTTAATTACTTAGAAACTGGTATGTCTAACTAAGATGAAAAGCAAACGAGTGCAATCTAATCTCAGCAAAGAATATTTATGATTATAAGCTTTGTCAATAGCAAAGTGCACCAACTGTTCATATATCTGACTTCCAAGAGATACATGAATGTTAATCAGTTCATTAGAGGCTTCTAGGTTGTGATATTTCGCGACAGGATGTAGTAGCTTTCTTGTCCATGGAGTATAATTGTACTCAGAATGAAAAATTGTTTCCAACAAAGCATCATCCTTTCTGTTTCTGATTTCCTGCTGGTTACTTTTTATTAGCTGTATACCTTTCAAGAAGCCGACATTATTCAGCTTCTTGTGTCACATAAATACAAGTATGAATATGTCCTGAGATCGTCTGCTGAGTGGGATTCAACAACCTTGACTCCGAGCTCAGAAATTTATCTTAGTTCCATAAACCTGAGCTTCATAATTAGTGCAGTCATGGTGTACTTCCAGAAGTTACATGCAAGTAAAAATATTCCCAAAACTGCTTTCTATCTACAGGGAACAATAACAAGTAGTTCAATTAACAGTATTTAATGATTAAAATAACAATCTGTCACATATGAACATGTTAACATTATAAAGTGACTGAGGGAAAAGCTAATAATGATGAACGTGATATAACTCGGCAATAATACATTTATTTTAAAACGCGTATTTGTTAAATGAGAAGGTATGACGAGATACTGGTGGAGAAATACAGACTTCATCCTTAGTTTTCTTAGGAAAAATCCTTATCTAGTTCAGTAATAAAGGCATCCTGAATGGGAGGGAAGATGCAAAAGAAAACAAGCACATTAGCCAGAACTGATTGCTACTGGAGTAAATGTTTATATTTCCCGACAGAGACAGTGGAGGAGGCTAAAATTGAACTAATTCACAATTAAGCTAAATGCATATACAATAAAATCTATGACAACCCAAATATTAATCTTGTGATTCACTAAATCTCAGAAGATAGGAGGTAGAAAGAGGAAAAGTAGCCATTTAACTCAAGTACCTCAGTTTAAAATATTAGGAATATCTATTTACAAGAGCTCATTTTAGAAGTGGGTTGTCCTTTCATATAGAATTCAGAAGTCCATATGGGATTTTAATAATGCATTGTAGAAGTATTTTATTACAACACAAAATATATCAGTCTCTAATTTTACAGAATGGTTTGCAAAGCAACTCAACATTAGTTTCAGGAAATAAAAAAGTTTATTACTTCAGTTACTCATTAGAGATTAAGCTACAAAGTTAGTGATAACAAAGATAATTGAATACAAATGAAACCTTAAATTAAATAGGACATAAGCCTCATGCTATTAACTGTGTGTGTGTGTGTGTGTGTGTGTGTGTGTATAAAACTTGGGATTAGAAGAATATCTATCCAAGTAGTGATTGCAATAAACTCCATTTCGATTTTGGAAACATGTAATATGTCTAAAGAAAATATTCCATTTTGTGGAGTACACGTTAATTTCTAATATATGCCAACTCTTGAAATTAAGCTGATTAGTGATATCAGTTTGTGAGGGAATGAAGTCTGTATCTGCTTTGTCAAACATTTCAAAAGTACCTAAATCACATCATGACTTTAGATTCAAATGCCTTCAAACTGAGTTTTAATATCTTTTCAATTTATCATGAACAGCAGAAAAAAATAAGGCATATGGAAGGGGGAAAAAATGAGAGAACATACTATCCAAGCTGATCAAAAGGAAAAAAGAATATAAATCAATACGAATGCATGTGAGTATTATTCATGACAAATAAATACTTAAAAAATTTCCCTGCAAAAAGGCAAAGGTTAAATCTTCTATAATTTGGCACTACAGAAAGATCTTTGGCTATGCAAATACACCTAAACCGTTGAATAAATTGTAATTCTAGTTGACTAGTGACTTTGGTTATTTAGATATCAAAAGGATATGGACATCTTTGTCACAAATTTGTCATGCAAGTCCTCAGGAGGGGGAAAGGTTTCCAAATCTTTTTCAAGCTGTTGAAGCTGCCTTCCCATCTGTTTCAAATTCTTTTCCAGCGTTTCTACAGAGACTAAAAGAGAGTATATTAAATGCCTCAAAAGGATGAAATTATAATATATAGAAGGTAAAACACTCTAGAAACAAAATATTTGTGAGGAAAAGAACCTCCTAATAACATAAGAAAATTCATGATTGAAAAAGAAAGATGAATTTCTATTTTTTTTTACCCTTTGATTTTTAAATCCAATTATACAGGAAATTCAATAGGAGAGTCTTTAAAACAGAAGACAAAATACAAGAGATACTCACATACAGGAACAAAACACGTTTAAGAAAGTTTTGTTTAAAATTAGAGGTACTGACCACTAAAAATGCTACAAAATAATTAGTCTATTCAGAGAGGCGAAAGAAAGACTATGTTTTTAAAATATTTAACATAATTTTAACATTTTTCAAACAGGGAGTAGAAAGAAAAGATGAGAAAAGTTGCTGTGTATTGTCCAGGTTAAGCTACAACAAGAAAGAAAAGGTATTAGCGGCCATTTACAATAACGGACAAACATCAAGCTTTCTTCACTGACACCTTGAGCACATTCTGTATTTATTATCTAATGATATTTTTCCTTCTTAGACTTAAAGTTGCTCTCAGAGTGCCCATGATGAACAAATGGTAAGCCAGGGCATGGCAGCACTATCAGAATGCAATGCCCACCTGGTAGGACAGACATTAAGAACCATTTGCCAAAGTTGTGAATTATATAGTCCATGTTATATGACACTAGGAAAAAAGACAACAACAAAAAGAACATACAGTGGCCCAAAACAACTTTTTAAAAATATATTTGCTTTAGGGACATATACATTTAAGTAAAAAAAAAAAAAAATCTGTTGCTGCTGATCAATGAATAACTATATATAATAACATTATAAAATGCATACAGTAATTCTAGGTAATCTGCCATTTTCAGGATTTGAATTAAGCCCGAAGAATGGGTGTAATTCAAGTTTCATCTACAGGGATAGGACTATCCTTTGAAGTAATCTAAGTGCTCAAGAAAATGGGATTGAGTAAAAAAAAAAATTTTTTTAAAGATTAAAAAAAAAATTTAAAAAATTTTTAATCTTTGTTCAACAGAATATATGAAATAGTGTTTTTGTTTTACCTAGCTGTATACAAAATAATGTTTGCTATTCTAATAGCTATTAATAGCTTTTAATAAAATTTAATTTTTATTAGATAAAAATTAGCAATCTACTTCTCAGGCATGTTTAATGAGTCCAATGACTGAAATCTTCAGAGAACCACATAAAATAGTTGTGTCTGAAGAGAGATAGTATTTTAACCATTGGCTCCCACTGTGATGACGCTATTCTGAAATTATACTCACACATACTTTCTCAGCAGTTTTTTAGTTCTCAAGTATTCCCTTTTCTATGATTCTTACAATTGAGACAATAACTCAGAAAACAGGGTCTATAAAATGTTTCCATCATGGTAGCCTTTAGTGTATTAATTCAATCTGTGTAACTCATGTCCCTAATATCTTGCTGTACACAGCTCATGGTGGTAACACATATTTCCTGTGTTGTTCTTTCAGTTTTATGTCTGCTCATCAGTTACCCACAACCACGATGTCTGTTTTGATGCTGTTGTTTCTGCTTCTTTTAAATTTCATCTGCACTCCAGAAAAGACCCCCCCTTACTCCCCAGCATTTGATCTGTCTTCTGATGTCTCATTAGCATTGCCTCGAGCATTTTCCAAGAAATCTCACAGCTAGTCACTTTTATAGTTCTTAACACTTTGCAACTTCTGATAAACAAATGAAGGCCCCAAAACACATAAAATCCTTTTATTAAGTAAATACGTGCTCAGAAAAATTTACAAGTCATACATCTACTATGGTCTATAGATCTATTAGCAGTGTAATGATAGTAGTAGTAATCGTTGCAATAGTAGTAGGGATAATACAAGTAATAAAAACAACAGTTATAATAGCATCTAAAATTTACTGAGTGTTTGTGTGTATGTCAGGTACTGTCTTAAGTGCTTTCCATTAACTCATTCATTTAAGCACGTCACAAAATAGGTATTATCATCATCTGTGGTTTACAGATGAGGAAACTGGAGCCTGAGTAAGTAAAAACGTCAAACAACTAAAAGGTAGTAAAGCCAGAATTTGAAATCAGGTGTTTTCAGTCCAGAGCTTACTTTTAACCATTTTGCTGTACATAAATTAATGACAGAAATTACTATTTCATTTTCACAACCCCTACTTCCCTATCAGTCACAACAGTTAAATACACAAATGTAGTTTTCACAAAAGAACTAGTTTTCTGCACATTCTTGTCTAGTGCAAACACAAGTAACCCACAGATGACTAAATCATGGGAAATATGCGTAAGCATTCTGAATGGACAGATGAACGGAAGTTAGATAGAGATATGCTACTACTAAAAAAAAAATTTAAGGTGGTATCCCAATATCAAACAAACCACTTATTTAAAATACTGCTTAGCCTGCATTGCCAATTATATTATGCACATACATCAAATTAGGAAAAGATTTAGAGAACAGACAAATAAGTCTGAGAGATGTCCATATGCCAAAAAGTCCAAGGCAAATGCTGGGAGAGAACATTCTCTTTTTCCTGACACCAAATACACTAATACAACCAATTCTTTAATTTCCCAACACCAATCAGGTGCCCTACAACTGAACTCAATCCTGGCACTGCCTGGCATTAGTGCAGACTCCGAAAGTTAAAAACAAAGTCCTTCAATTCTGATACCAACTACCCAGAGTTAGTGTTGATTGCATAGGCGAGGTCTCAGTTCCACAAGACCGCCCTCAATTAGGATGCCAGTTGCAAGGCCAAGAGACCACCCCTACTTCTGATGAACTGGCTATCAATTTGAGGATCCCCCATACCCCCCTCCTTTAAGTTCCGTAGTTCACTAGAATGACTCACAGAACTCAAGAAAGGACTACACTTGAGATTTTAGTTTTATTTTAAAGGATACACTTTAAAGTCCAATGGAAGAGACACAAGGGCAAGGAGTGGCAGGAAGAGGTAGCGGGGAGGGATGGTGCAGAGCTCCATGGCCCTCTCCAGGCACACCACCCTGCAGCACACGCTTTACTGAAGCTTCATTTCACAGGCATGAGCGATTAGATCACTGGCCATTTACGAATGAACTCAATTCCCAGTCCTTCTCCCTCCCCATTGGTCAGAGGTGGGCTGATAGTCTAACCCTCTAATTATATGTTTAGAACCTCTGGAGACCAGACCCCATTCTGAAGCCATACCCCCACCCACCTTTGGTCATCACCCTAGCATACAGAATACACTATCACTCAGGAAATTCCAAAGCTTTTAGCAGCTCTGTGTTAGGGATGAGGACCAAATGTTTACTTTTTATTATACCATACAGATACAGAAGTACATGTCTGGTCAGAGGACGGGACTCCAGCACCTGCGGGAGGTGTAAAAGAAACATTTTTGGCTCGTGAGTTGCCATTCTTAGAGCCGTCTAACAGCCTGAGCTGTTCTCGGAGGATGTCAGCTGCTCATAATTGAAGACAGAGCCGCCCTGTGGATGACCACGTCTCAGTTCGACACAAGAAGGTTTTACTCCACTCTTCGGTTGCCAGTGAGTCAGGTACTACTTTCTCTGTGATATCAAGCAACTTCTTCCAAATCCATTTCCAAATCAGCGAAATGGGGAAAATCTCACCTCATATTTTTACCTCACAGATGTTTCATAAAAAATAAATGCTATAACTAGGATGAAGAATTTTTAAAAGAAGAATAACAATATGTTTTTCTTGGAACAGAATAAACAATGAAAAGTTTAAAAACCAAACAGGGATTACTAGAATTTTTAAGAAAGGGAAGAAAAGTCATTATCGTTATCAGGCTCAGGCCAGGGACAGTACTGTGGAAGTCGGACTAAGAAGAGTTGCTATTTTCAAGAGTAAAATATAGGAATTTGGGGGGCATATTCAAACACTCAAGGTCAACATAAAGAGCAAGCAAGCTATCTTTTAAAAAATGAATCTTGCAGCTCCTCTACAGATGGAAATCTCACTAAGCCATTTCTTATGCTTCCTCAGTAGTCTCTGATGACATTACTCGTACATTACAGTTAAGTGGATTTAAATGTAATTGACCAACCTCTCATTGTTGGGTCTTAAATAAGGACCAAATCACACTTGGAAGAAAGAAGTATGAGAATTCTGGGCTAATAAAATGTAAGCTAGGGTTCAGAGCTATCTGATGGGTAAAACCAAATGAAAGAACATTTTAAGAATCCCCTTGGTGTTTTCCTGTTCAACAATTATTGTATTTCTAAAGACAGTTCCTTTATGTATCTTCAAACATAATTTTAGTCATACTTTTCATGTGTCAAGTTCTCTGAGGTCAGTAACTATATTTTTCGTATTAGAAATCCCAACTATACCAGGGAGTTACAAATTACATACTCTCAAAGAAGTATTAATTTACTGGAGTCTGTGTATGCGACCTGTGTGTGAATTTTATCTTTCAACTTTGTCACATTTCTTGATAAAGCAATTAATCATTTTTAAAATTTCTTTTCATTATTTAGAAGAAAAGTAACAAAACAGTGCCATCACAAAACACAGTTAGTACTGACTTTTGCATTTTACGCAGCTAACATCCAGTTGGATGGGATCTCTCTGTCACTCAGTTGTCACATGTCTGTCTCCAGTCAGCGCCCCCATCTGCAATTTCTACAACTCATTGGGCAGAAGGACCGTAAGTTCTGTTTCTTGTGCTAGAAATTTGCTGGTCTTGACCTTCCTGCGATCCCCAGATTTAAACAACTGCAACACCCCAGTCATTTTACTTAACAAACAGTACTTAATTTCTTCCTCACTTAACACTGTTAAAGTATTAGGAACCTTTATCTCTCCTCTGATCTCTGGTCTCCTATTGTTTTTCTCCAGTGCCTTCTTCACAACTGTACAGGGGGATTTCCAGACAATCAGTAATTTAAAGATGTCCCTTCTGCTGGGCATGGTAGCTCACGCCTGTAATTCCAGCACT